ACCTTCTAGTGAGTCCAGGGTGTTTTCGTTTGGGTTAAAACTTGTAGTAAGTGAGTCTATAGTCCGTTTTCGGTCCTCAATTCCTATGCCGGCTTGGACGCGGTGATCTCGGCGTCTTTACTCTGCCGCCATCTTCCGGAAGTCCTCAATGATAATATATTTAAATCATAAAATTAAAATATAAAATGCTGTTCTCACAAAGGTATTTTAGATGCAGAAATTTCAATATTGAAGTATTCAGGTCTTACTAACTCAGTACCTTAATTTGCCTCCTCATTGGTCTTCCCATTATACATTCAAAAACAGATCATTTGTTAACTAAAAAAAAATAGTTTTGCAAAATGTCCTCTCATGCTAGCACCCAAAGACAAGGTGACTACTATGTTTATGCATAATTTCTCTCTCTTGGCTGTTACTCACACTTGACGCCATTTCTTACTCTGCATATGCAAATTTACATGCTAAATCTTGAACACTGGGTTCTTCTCTAATAATATGCTGACATCCTCTTGAGCAAATCCTCCAATATATAGTAAAAATAACCTGCAACTTATTTCTTCTTGATTGAATTAAGAAGTAACTTTCATCCCTCATGACCCTTGACCTTAACAGCTTTTTTTTTAAGAACATTCCATTAGATTGCACTGAGTTCAAATCAGATCCCTAATCATAAATTCCATAATGCCAGGGACTCTAAAACATACAGTACTAGAACATGACAGTATTACTCGGTGTTGTAAAGAGTTTTCCTTTCTATTTTATGTTAAGGTATTAAAACTCTCAGGAAACTAAAATGGAAAATGAGATAGCATGATAGATTGGAGGACCATATACTTGACCTAGCACTGTAGTGCAAAGTCACTCCAAGAAATTATTCTAAGTCGATTAATAGCAGACAAACTTCACAATCCTCCCCTCGTGCCTCCTTGTAAACAGGAACCTGCTGGTGGCAGTTCTTCATGCACCCAACACGTCACCATGTTTATTTTATTTCTTGGGGGATTATTTCCTGGTGCTTTTTTTTTTTTTTTTTTTTTTTGTAGCTGCATCACTTTGGTTTTAATCAAAACCATTCAAACAAATTTTATTTTTAAAATATTTTTTAAAAAATACCGGGAACATGTTTGAAGTGTCAGCTCCCCCTCACCATGGCCCCCTTTGCTGGGGGCTGTACACCACGATAATTAACCTTCACGCCTTGAGTTTGGGAGGTATAACTCATGTCGCGGTCAATTATCTCACTGTAGAGCCCCTAAGGATGAGAAGTATGGCTGCAAAACCTAATTAGTAATTTTTTTAAATGTGTATTGTTTACTTGATATTCTGTAATGACTTCCTCTGAGGCACTACGGCCTATCATGGCAGGGTCCTACTTAGACAATTTTTAGCAGCTCATTGACCTGATAAAAAGGCCCGCCATGGTCTGTCGGCGCCCGGCAGCCACCGTTGACAGGATGGACTGTTTAACGTTTCTTTCTAAGTCATTATGGTATATCATGTCAGGTCCCTAGTAAAAGAAGGTTTTTTTTAGATTTAGAACAATCAACTCGATAGACCAAATAAAGAGCTCCTTACAGAGCTGAATGGGAAAAAGCAGATCTCACAAATGCCCAGTCAATCTTCTAGCTCCATATCTCCTATGGGTTGGTTGACCCAGGCAGCAATCCATAACTTAAAGTGGAATTTTTCTGTCGTTGCCAAGCTTCCGTTCAAAACAGCAAGCATGATCAGCATGCTTTAATTGGTGAATAAATGAAAAGAAACGAAAATATGTGACACTGTAGATCAGAAAAGAAGTTTCTTAAAACATTTATTTCCTGTTGTTTAGATGATGATTCCAACTCAATAGAAGTTCCCTACCTGCTCCCTGCCAAGCTGGTAGCTACTACCAAACTTGCTGAGAAGTTATTACTATGCTGACAAGTCATCAAAATGATTGAAAATAATAGAGAAACACTGTAAGTCACCACTGGGGTGACTTTACCTCTTAGAGCTGGCTGGCCAGATTTCTAGAATATCTCACCTACTCAAAGCTCCCCAAGGAGCGTAATAAAAAGTGCAGAACACACAGCCCCTAGGCTCATTCCACCTAGTATCAGCTCATGAGTTGTGTGGCTGCTACCTATGAATTTCTAAGGCAGAAATGAGAAGAAAATACAAATGTAGTGCTGATGAGCTGTTCTGATGTCAGGCTTAATGATTTGATTCATTAAGAAGGAAAAGAAGACAAAGATGTAAACTAGTTTGTTAAAAATGCTTTGATGACTTTAAGACTTTTATAAAAGAAAAATTTTTTTAAAAAGCAGTTTGGAGAACAACAACCGTTTATCTTTCACTGAGTAAGTAAAAAGCTAGAAGCAAATGCATCAGAAATGTTTCCAAATTTAAATATTTTGTTTCTAGCAATCTCACAAGAAACCATGCAGGACAATATTCTGTTTGAAAATCTGTTGTGTTTACCCTGATAAAGAAAGTCAAACATTCAAGAGGTGATAAGGTGATAGTGGCTGACATTCATCCAAACTAACTAAATAACCCTATGGATCTAAAAGGACCTTTAAAGACCTGTACAATAAACAGTGTTCAAAGTATGTATGAAGAAGTTATTAATAGTCTTTTTTTAATTTATTTCAATATGTTGACTATTGTCACTGATGGTAGGAAAGGGTGACTAGTAGAACAATTTGAAAAGATGACAGTGCAGTTCCATTAAGAACTATTCGATCATCTTGAGCTTACTTAAAAAAAAAAAAAAACTTAGCCCTCCCTGGTGGCGCAGTGGGGTAAAGCACCGCACTAAGAAGCTTAAGCCACTTCCGCATGAGTTCGATCCCGCCTGCCCCAAGGAGATCCACATGGTGTGGCAGACCTCTCCTGACCCGCCCGCTGCTCCCCTCAGCAGTGTACTTCGTCGATCTGCCTGTTATGCTCCCCACTCTGTCCCTGGTGAATCCTCTCACCCTCCACATCTCTGGCCTGTACCCCAGTTCTGTCTAAATAAATAAATAAATCTTTAAAAAAAAAACTTAAATAGTTTAATCCAATTGTGCTCTTCTTCTGAGAGGAAAGAAAGGGAAATTCCTTAGAGAAACCTGAGGTAGTAAAATTTTAGGCCTGAGCAAATGTTCACCTTAACTGCACTTACACTCTTGTACAAGGGGGTTCTATAGTGCATTTCATGAATTCCAATTTGGGCATGCAAAGAGAATGTTCACTATTGGCATTTCTACATAAAAATGCAATTTTAGACAGGAAGGGAAACCTATTGATTTTATTTTTTCCATCTAGATCCTAACAGTGACACTGTGTGGATAAAGCTAGGAGTACACATGGAGCATTGAGAAAGACTTAGCCAAATAAATATTAAATAACAAGTTCTGACAGATTTTAACCAATTATTACAATAAGAAACCAAATTGAAAAAGTAAAAAAAAAAAAATTAAACTCAGGCTTGATAAAAGGATTTTATACTGCCAAAGGGAAAGAGAGCTTCTCTTTCCCTCATTAGCTAGATTATTAATAGTGCTTTTCTATTTGTTATGACTTGCTCTTCTAGACCATGATATAATGCGCAGAAGAACTGGTCAGCTTAAGCCCATTATAAGTCAAATTATTTAAAGATAGCCCATAGTGACATTGGTAAATTAATTATTTCAGAGATGCTAAGCTGTAATAGGATTACATAGAAGAGGACTACTGAAGAATCCTTGTGTCAGCAGTGCAAACAAATATGTTTGTTATTTAATACAGGCTTTTGTAAGCATGTCTCTTCAGTGAAACATTTTTGCTGAGAAGATAAAAGCACCAGTATTACAATAGCTTGATCAAACATACTCAGTAAGAAAGCAATTGAAATCTAGTTAGATGAATGGAAGGAGCCAGTTCGCCATTTGTATTTACTTAATTTTGCAATTGTTTTAACCTAATTTTTAGATGAGTTTTCCCCTCTATATCAGGAAACTCAAATATTTTTAGTTGTCAATTCCTTGATAATATGATAAAAATCTTTCTCCAAACATATTCCTCATAAAAAGTACATATGCAAAACATAATCTGTGCGTGTGTGTGTATAAGTGTAAATATATACATATATAGCACAATATTTTATTACAATTTCAGAGCTTCATGCACCCAAAAGAGTCCTATTTAAATCTAACAGTGACACTGTTAGAGCCTGGTTAATAATCCTCACTTAATAAAATTTATCCCACCTGCCTTGTACACCCCTTCCTACTTTTTCCATCACTGGTGTTCTGCGTCATCTTCTTGAATTTTCTATAGCATATAATTCTTCCAGAAGCATCAAGAAAATATAAAAATGAAACATAAGTAAGCTATGACTTTAAAATTATCAATGAAAATTATTAATTCCAGTAGAATTGAAAAACAAAACTGAGCTATAGGATCCAGGAATCCCCCTTCTGTCTGTGTATCCATAGGAGCCAAAATCAGTATGTTGAAGAGACATCTGCATTTCCATGTTCATTGCAGCATAATCCCCAATAGCCAAGGGGTAGGAAAAACCTCAGTGCCTGTCAGTAGGTAAATGGATAAAGAAGGTTTAAGAGATACATACATACATACATTTATATAATAGAATATCATTTAGCCATAGTAAAGAAGGAAATCCTACCTTTTGCCACAACATGAAACTAAAGGATATAATGGTAAGTGAAATAAGTCAAGCAGAGAAAAACAACTATTGACTATCACTTATATGTGCAATCTTTAAAAAAGTCAAACATAAAAGAAATATAATATCTGATGGATGCCAGGGGTTAGAGACTGAGGGGCGGTACAAACTTTCATTTATAAGATGTATAAGTCCTGAATATTTAAATGTACACATCATATAAAGATCTAGTGCTAATTAATAATACTGTATTATATACTTGAAATTTGCAATAAAAATAGATTTTAAGTGTTATCACCAAAAAAGGTAACTGTGTGAGGTTATGAGTGTGCTTATTAACTTGATTTTGGGAATCATTTCACAATGCATGCATGTATCATTAAATTAGGCAAAGTTATAAACTTTAAATGTATTATAATATATTGCCAACAACACCTCAGTGAAACTGGAAAAAAGAAAATAAAACAATATATCACCATTTAGAGCAGATATGATGCCTTTATTGTAATAAATCTTATAAGCAAACATCAAAGAATTTAGTCAAGTAATATAAGAAAATATATATGCTGTTTACATCTTGATGGCTATTTTAGAATGTTTTACCCAGGAATATTAACTGATCATTCATGAGCATAAACCAAATGCTGGACACTACTGCAAGCCTTTTCCATAGATACTTGCAAATAATCCTGGGACCAAGTTACAATTATCATCTTCGTGAGACAGCTGAACATATTGACACTGAGAGAGGTCAAGTAACATGTGAAAGGCCAGACATCCAATAAATTACAGTCAAGTGACCAGATACAGGCACCAAGCTGTTAATCAAGATACTATATTACTGCTTCCTCTCAGTACTTTGGATATACAACTTGGGAAAATCTCCAAACCATATAGACTTAACTGATTTTTTTTTTAAAGATTTATTTATGTATGCATACAGAACTGGGGTACAAGCCAGAGGTGTAGGAGTGGTGAGAGGATTCACCAGAAAAAGAGTAGGTTGCAGAACAGCAGATCGAAGAAGTACACTGCTGAGGGGAGCAGCCAGAGGGTCAGGATCGGCCTGCCGCACCATGTGGTCACCTCCGGGGACAGGGATCAACTCATGCCGAAGTGGCTTTAGCTTCTTAGTGCTGTGTTTTAATCCACTGCACCACTAGGAGAGGCCCACTTAACTGATTTTTTAAAAATGACCTCAGGACACTTCCTGTTATGATTCATGTTGACCAAGTGTCTTGGCATCAGTTTTTATAAAGGCTGTTATTTATTCAAATATACAATATATTTTCTGAGAAATTTGCCACTTAACAATTTTACTTTCTTCGTATTGGACCGCATGTTATCCTGATGAAGCAATTATTCCACTAGTATCAGTGAGAAAAACAAAGCAAAGCTTGAGAATTTTAACAGAATCATCCTAATGCGAAATTTTTGAGTCCTCTTCAAACATTGGATTCTCCCTCGGTCCTCATACCTTGTTAGTTACCAAGTCTTACATACTCCTTTAAAATAGCCTTTGTTTCACCCCTTTCCACTCTTCTACCAAAACGCTAGTCTCAACATCTCAGAATTAGTTGACCTATTTCTGTTCCTTTCAACACAACTTGCATCTTTTGCCTTTGAAGGTATAGTGGCATCATTTAATAAATAGCCTCTCTTGAAAAGAAACCAAAAAATATCGTTTCGCTTCATAACAACTAACAGCAAAAGCAATGTAAGATAAAATTCCTATAATTTCAATACTATGTTCAGTTCACGGAAGTTTCTCTATTTGCAGTAATACTGGGGGGTGGGAGGAAGAAAAAATGATAATTGAAGAAATTTTTTGATGATGTAGTTCTCTTATAAATTGGGAACAATGACCCTTGAAGGACCATAAAGAAAGTGAATGTCAAGATAATTTATTATTGTTACATTACCTACCTCATTTTTCACTTTGTCTTACTACTGTGATATCCTTACAAGGTACCAAATATCCCAAACGGCAGTGCACACTTGAACATATACAAAAAACAAGCAAAAAGGAGCTCACACAAAGAGTTGGTGAATATCTCGTCTCCTATTACCCTAATATAAAAAAAAGTTAACCAAATGGAAAAAGCATACAACCACTTCATAAGGGCTCAGATTTAGCAGATTGCTCCATGTGTCATTTCCAACAACTCTCTCCAAAACAGGATGTACTCCTGTCCTCAACTGACTGGACTCCTTTTGTGTTTTATGTTGTTTTCATTGTAGAAGAGCCAGTTTCTATGCATGTCGGTTGGACAAACATTTATATGTTATTGGTGGAAGGAATGAAACCGGCTACTTGTCCAGCGTGGAATGCTACAATCTAGAAACAAACGAATGGCGTTATGTGTCCTCTTTGCCACAGCCTCTGGCAGCTCACGCGGGAGCAGTGCACAATGGGAAGATATACATTTCAGGCAAGTCACTCCTCCACCTCCGTTACCAAGGCATTTCTGAGGCATTTCTTCACTTGTATGTATATGCTTAATTCTCAGGGGGTGTACACAATGGAGAATATGTCCCTTGGCTATATTGTTATGACCCCGTGATGGACGTCTGGGCTCGAAAACAAGATATGAACACAAAACGTGCCATCCACACTTTGGCTGTAATGAATGATCGCTTATACGCAATTGGAGGAAATCATTTGAAAGGTCTTTTTTTTTTTTTTAATCACAATAACATTTGCATCTCATGTTTCTTGCTAGGGGGGTTTGTCATTAGATAATCATAGTTAACCAAGTAAAAAACATGTTGACCAAATAAAATCTACCCTGTGTAAATTAGCAGAACCCTTGGGCAAGCATTTACTTTGGGTTTTCTGCAGAAAGGATTATTTTTAAGTTACCACACACACATTAAAGAAATGAATAATGATGTCTACAGAAAATAAAATCTGAGGACATTAATAACTGAATAGCACAATTTGTTGTAACAATGAATGCAGTAAACTAAATTATTCCTTATCATCAAAGTTATAATAATGGATTTTTTCCATAAAAATTGTTTTGTGTACTAATCATACAGAATTTTAAGAATAGCTGCATTAAAATGTCCAAAATTTTTCTTAAAGAAAATAGAATTTCATGTATACATTTTGAATAATTTCTTTTAAGACTCAAATTTCAAGCCACCTATGATTCTCAAGTTCTTTATACTTTCCTTTGTCAATGAAAAGTCTTACTGGAAGCATTATATGTTTAGAATCATGTTTTGGTTCCCTTCTTCTCTGTGTGTATAACTACAGCCTTTGTCATTTTTTTTTAAGATTTATTTTTATTTGTTTATGTATAACAAGAACTGAGGTGAAGCCCAGAGGTTCTGGGGTAAGAGGATTCCTTAGAGACAGAGTAGGGAGCAGAAAGGGTGGACCTACTGAAATATACTGCTGAAGAGAGCAGCCAGCAACACAGACGAGGTCTGCTGCACCATATGGGTCACTTCCCTGGCTGGGGATCAAAGTCATGCCACACATAGCTTGATAGCGCTGAGACTTTAACCCTTCCACCACCATTTAGGCCCTACAACCTTTTGAAGGTTTGTGAATGCATATAACTTTTACGCATGTGCATAGCACTGAACTTGATAGGGAAGCAAGAGACCTTTGATAATGAGAACATTATTGAACTGCATTGGGCCACAATTTCTTTATCTGAGAATGAAAAATTTGGTTTAATTGAACTCTAAAATCTCCAGCTGTGACTGTCCATGATTCTTGAAAATGAACTGAATGAGAAATAGACCATCTGGCTAGGGTAGATCAGGATGTAATTGATTTCTCAACAATATACCCATCTTAAAAGTGGATCAGACATAGACATTTATTCTATTTTTCCTAGTATATATTTACCTCTAAACATAATAAAGACTGCACAGGCATAATTTTTCTGTAAATATTTCCAAATTCATATGCATTCAGAAATATTAATATCCTAATTTATGTCTGCTGTTGAACTTAGCCCACTGGAAGAGGATTATCTTTTCTAGTGGAACTCAACTCTTCCTTCTTTATTCTTTTTCTCTTTCCATGGTGCTTCTTCATTTCAACTATATACCATCCCTTTATAGCAACACATATTTACTTTGTAGCTTTCGATACTAAAGGATGATGTCTACTAAATTCATTTGCACAATAATGCAATATTAAAGATTATAGTACCTTTCAATATTTAAGATTATACTTGAGCAGAAGGCTTGGGTAATGAGAATCTAGAAATCACAAACACACATCAAAATTATGTGGATTGAGAATGACATCATGGTATACAGGGAAAGATTTGAACCTACCCATGTGTGGGATTTATTCCCAGTTATGCACTTAGAATAGTGTGATATTTCTCAAAACGTTTGACCTCATGTCTATAGTATCCTTTCCTTAGTAGTTGTGAGGGTAGTAGCATATATAATACATGTCCTTGGCAAGACAAGACACACATCTCCTATTTGACACCACTAGTATCAAATAGTAGGGATTTCCCCCAATCACTCCAAATATATATATTTTAAAAGTTATCAATAGGGGGCCCTCCCTGGTGGCACAAGGGGTTGAAGTGCAGCACTATGAAGCTAGCCATCACCACTTCAATGCCAGTTCTATCCCTGTCCTGGGAGGTGACCCTCATGCATGGCAGACCTCTCCTATCTTGCCGGCTGCTCCCCTCAGCAGTGTACTTCATCAGTCTGCCTGTTCTGCTGCCACTCTGTCTCTGGTGAATACCTCACCATCCCTTCATCTTCAGTTCTATATGCATAAGTAAATAAATCTTTAAAAAGTTATCAATAATCTTAATAGTAAAGGAAAGAAACATAGCCAGAGTTGTAGTGAGCACATTGCTCCATCTCCAAACCTAGAGGATTTATTTTACTTAAGAAGTAGTGGCCTGAAACATTGTAAAAATATATTTGGGGGGGGAGAGTCAAATATATTATTAAGAAAACCAATGTAGTTTAGTCTGTCAGAACATGAGCTCTGAGTTCACATCTCAGCCTATTTACTGTCTGTGACTTACACTATTTGTTAACTTTCTCTGCTTCTCAGTTTCCTTATCTCTAAAATGAATATAAAGTAATTGATGGGATTGAATAAGCTCATTTCCATAAAGTATTTATAAAATAACTAACTTACAGTCAGCACTCTATAAAAATACTTGTTTTGTTATTACTTCAAACTTTTTAAAATAGATTTTAATAAAATATTTTCAATGAGATTTGCCTTCATACAATCAGCTTTTACCAATGACATCCAATTAGGCATTTTGCTTTAAATTAATCTAAAGCACACAGTTTGGTTTTTTTTGTTTGTTTATTTGGTTGGTTGGCTGGTTGAGTGGTTGGTTTCTCGTTATATCTGACATTCCTCCCACTTGTATAAGTAAGTTTAGGATTTGTGTCTTCAGAGACACAATTATTATCTACTTTGTGGCTCTAGACCTTTTCCTTTAAAAAGCCCTCAATTTAATTTGGTCTCTGAAAGTTTATTCTCTCATGGTTTCATTTTCCCATGTCACTTAGGTTTCTCCCACCTTGACGTTATGCTCGTAGAGTGTTATGACCCAAAAGGTGACCAGTGGAATATTCTCCAAACACCCATTTTGGAGGGTCGAAGTGGTCCTGGATGTGCAGTGCTTGATGACAGCATTTATCTTGTAGGAGGCTACAGCTGGAGTATGGTATGTGACCTTGTGTTTGGGTTTACATTTTGTTTCCTTCCAAATGTATCATCACTCACACATGTATCTTTTAAGAACATCATGCTTATATACAAGGAGGAAGTTACTCTAAGTAGTAAAATAGAATCACAGTGATTGCTGTAGAGTTGGCTTTCTATCTGGGCAACTATATCACACAATGTGATAATTTTATGTTTCTCTTATCTTCCATGCTTTTGTGATTCAGTTTTTCAACTAAATGCTAGGCAGAAGTGATTTTACAAAGATTCTGTTGACATTGAGTAGCAGAGTCAAAAGTGGCCGACCACTAGACATGAAATAATAATAGTTCAATATTCATTAATTGTTCAATAACCACAAATCCTGGTTCAACTTTATAATTGGACACTACTTCTCTTTTTTCTCCCTATTTATCATGAAAGTTTCTAACGATACAAAGAGTGCACAATGGATGCATCATCCAGCTTCAGCATCAATCAACATAGGCATACTTACTTCAACTAGCCAGCCTTTCAAAAATTTTGACTCAGGCAATTTGAAGCAAATTCTGGACATCCTTAATACTTCAGCATTTATCTAAATAAAAAAAAAATGATTCACTTATGTAAGCATACCATCATTATCATACCCTATCCAATTAATAATTTATTTATTCTAAATCCATATTCAAATTTCTCCTCTTGACTTGAGAAAACTTTAATTTTCAAATTGATATGTTTTACAACTTGTATTTGGTTACCGTATCTCTTGCAATCTGTAAAATTATCCTTACCAGACTAGTTGTTCCATATCACTGACTTGTTGCAAAAGTGGAGTTAATTAACTTCAGAATACTCAACATTCCCAAATTGACTAATGATTTACTTGTGATGTCACTTAAAAGAGTCCTCTGACTCCACATTTCTTATCAATTGGAAGTTAAACATTATGTTTAGCTTTTTGGTTTGTTTTTTTTTTTACCTGAGGAGGGGGCAGTATGTATTTGGACAATTATAACACATCAGGAGACAGACAGGGGCGAGGAGATCTATCTCTATTCACTTCCTAAATGATGACTCTTTATATTTTCCATTTGATATGTGTTGATGTTATGTATACATGGGATTTCATTTCATTGACATCAGGCAAAGTTATTACTTAAAGTTCGGGGGGAGGTTTAAAAAGTTATTAGCGAAGCTTGATGGAGGCAAATAGGTACTCACTAAGCAACTAGATAGTCATACATTTTGTCTGCTGGTATAAATTGCTAGGAGTAAACTTTCAGAAAATGCTTATTAGGTTGGTTGGAATTTTTGCTTTTTATCTATGGTAAATACAAAATTGCTTTAATTTGGGAAGGGAGACATTATACAAAGACCAAAAAGGTTGACAAGAGAAGCAAGATTATAGATTTTATTTTTAATTTTCATATGCCTTAAAAAAATCAATATGTGAAGAAGTTGGCAATTTCCAGCTTGTGTTAAACTGGTTTTGAATTCCAGGTCTGATTCTCTACAGTAGTAAATTTAAAATAAGGGGAATAATCATCTAAAGTTCAATTTACTTCAATTATAAGACTATTTAAGTTGAATTTTTCTTTTTTAAACTTAACCCATCTATCTAATTCCCAATTCTGGGTCTCTTGTTTTAAAGAATTTGTCAATTATTTGGATCTTATTATTAGTCTCACCCACACCAAGATAGATTTTGAAATCTTGACCATGTCTAATTTCCTCTTGGAAAGGAAACAGCTTAAAATCCACTGTCATTGTTTGAATCTTTTTACCAGGAGCAGAGAATTAGTATTTTCTTTCCAATGTGAATGTAATAATTAAGATTGTCGGTGCACTTTTCTAAGCATCCTTTCCTAAATGCTCCCTGCTCTACCATTACAGGGGGCCTACAAGTCATCTACAATATGCTATTGTCCAGAAAAAGGCACCTGGACAGAACTCGAAGGAGATGTAGCAGAGCCACTGGCAGGCCCAGCCTGTGCCACAGTCATCCTGCCAGCCTGCGTACCTTACAACAAATAACACCAGGAAACCCTGGAATGAACAATATCACATTCTAGGAAGCAGTAACAGGTGACATCACTATGATAATAGGAACAATGCATTCTAGTGGTACAACTGCCGAAACCCACCCTTGGTTTCTGATGATTTTCAATTAACTCTGAAAGAAAAAGACCTGTTCTTGAACAGATGATATGTCTGTAACTCGGATCACATCAGACTTGGTGTGACAGACTCTTCCATTTCAGACTGGTTTTAACTTGTCCCAGCTTCACAAAACTCCTCATATGGATCTTAACCTTCAAAAGGAGAAAGGTAAAATACAGAAGAGTGCCCCCAGAGAGACCTCAGATCAGTATTGTGCATTGTAGTCTACCTGCATGTGATCTATGTTGAAGTTTCAGGGATATTGTGTTCATGAATGATTTAGAATCTGACCCACCAAGATACTAACACTGCATTGCAGAAATTGCCACTTAATCCTATATTCCTAATCTGTGGCTACTTCACAGACTCCATAGGCAACACAGTTAGAGAAAACCATGTAAGATTAAAGAGGAGAATTTTTGTTACTATACAACTGCATTTTGTAGACCTACCCTTAACATCACCTCATGGAGTCAGAGAAGAGAAAGATGTTGGCTTTTGTAGCAATTGCTTTCTGTCCAGTAGGTTCTAGGCGAACGAGATTCATAATTTCTTTGTTTTTAATTTTCTCTGAAAGAGGAAAAAATATACGATATCACTCTTCAGCTCATGGAGACCCTTGCTTTCTCATCTTTTTAACATCATATAGGAAGTGATACATGTGTTACTTGCTTCAAAACAAGGCTGGAAAAGCCTGTCATACAACACTGAAGAGATTCTAAGACAATACAAGTGACCCAATCGGCCTGTGATGAAAACTAGGAGCTTGCATTCAGAAATTCAGGGACAAAAAGAAAGAAGTTTCTTTTAACTGCAATCCCGGTTGTCTCTCTGTACCTAAAACATAAAACTTAAGAGTTATAGGAGCAACTTATAGCTCCTAGTGAAATACATTCCCCTCTTCCTCACTAGAAAAGTCTAAATTAGACTGTAGAACTACACATGATTTACCCTCATTTTCCCCCCACCTCATATTTGTTTGTTATCACCAGAGATGCCTGAGCTCAGTGAAGGGAGCAATTGCTGGTTGTCTTCAGGAGCATGAAGAATTTAGGAACAGAGGTCAGGAGAGCATGAGATAGGCACAGTGTGGCCACTCAAAAGAAAAAAAAACTGGCAGGAAAGTGAATTCGATTAATTGGTTGGTTGTTTCAAGCTCTTCAGACCCTAACTGTTGTTGTTTCAGTTAGGAGTAAATCAAAGCCTAAAATATATTTTAATCACCCAGAAATGCTGTTGAATCTCTCAACAAATGTGTCATTCAAAGCAACAACATGGGAAGCCACAGATTAAAATGCCTTGGTGATAAACTTTCACTGTGGAGCATGTCGCGATGGATGGGTGTACTGGAATCCAATGATGTTTCTACAGTAAAGTGCAATCTTTGTTGTTTTTGTATTTATTTGTATGTTCAGATCCAAAGGATCCGTTGTAAAAAATATATATATAAATATATATATATATATATCTCCTGTGCAATCAACTTTCATTTCTTTTTCCTTGAAATCATATGAATATAGAGAAAGAAAGTACTTTGTGGAAAAATCCCAGCTGACATCATAAAGAGAAGAAGGTCTGCTTCAGAACCTTCTATCATCACTGGTCACCATTTCTTCTGGAAGTCACAGTTTATACAAGGATATTGGCTTTCCTTACACTTGTTCTTCATTTATTTTATTTCTAGTCAAAATGAATAAAAGCATTTATGAGAACCATAAGTAAAGCTTTCTGTATTTCAGAAAGACACAAACTATTAGGAAGTGAAAAGTGAATAAAGACGTCACAGAGAATGTAAATTTTGTACAGTATTAGAATGTGTAAATGAGCTTGCTTGAAGGGGAAAACTTTAAATAATAAAAACTTTATGTACTAATTCAATGGCATCTTATATTCCTACTTATAGAAATATGTACAGGTCTCTACAACAATTGTTGAAGATTTGTAGTATGTAAATGCCTAAATATTTCTATTCTGCATGTATACTTTACAAATCTATTTAACTTCCTGGCAGTATGGAAAGGGATACTGTATGGGCAATACTAAAATTCATAGAATGTTTCTGGGAGTACACGGTAAGTTAAAAATCATGAATTATATCTGATTTTCCCACTGCAAGAGTATGGCAGTGAGGCATAAGTTAGCCAAGATCTGATGAGTAAATACTTGCAGAAATAATTTAAAGTACCATAAATATTAATATGTGCATATTTTCTAAATAATATGTGAATCACAATTTTACATTTGTCAATTACCTAAAATGGAACTTAATTGTATTCTCTTTTTAAAAATCTGAAAAAGAAGTTGGTACCATGGGAGAAACTGAGACATATAGCTGATGGTTGTAGTTAGCCCACCTTCCAGACAGAGACCCTACAAGTGAGGATGCTTGCAGTTAGAATTTGCCGTAATGCTTCCAAAACACTGTTATTGATAATTAAACTCACAATGACAGGAACATTTGATCCACCCTATTCTGGATATTTTAAACATTTCTTCACTTACTCCTTTGAACAGCTTTTTACAGTGAATATTATTCCTATGTTATAGGTTAGGATACACATCAGAAAGGGTAAACTATTTGATAAGGATAAATGCTGATGGGTAGTAGAATGAGGATTCAAGCCAAAGTTTTAATTAAAAACCATCCTCTAATCACATGGTCTCCTCCTCACAAAGAAATTTCTTAATCCTTTGAAGTCATGTAGGAATTCCTGGTGGATTAGCTGCTTTTTCCACATTTGAATGATATGTGCTAGAAGGGGAAAGGTGCACAATTAATCGTGATACATTATGACAAATGCTCGATTGATGGTGGGGATGAAACACTAGAAACTCTTAAGGATGGGGAGAAGGAGAGGATAGAGTTTGCTCTATGACCTTGAAAGGTCATGTTCTCCAACTTCAGTTCTGTCATCTGTCAAAGGAGTGATAATCTCTTCTTTGAAACAGCATTGCAAAAGTCATTTTAAGAATGTGAAACACTGTACCTGGCAAACTCTGAAGCAAAATGTGCATTCACTCTGGATACAATGACAAGGTCCAAATGGTAGCCAGACATAGAAAATACCTTAAAATACAGCCTCAGCCTCACTTTGAAGTCATTTTTCTTTACTACTCTGCCCATTGAGCAGTGTGAGTCCTTGCTTTTCCACAAACACAGTTATGCTTTCCATCTTTGCCCTTTGCTTGTGTGTTTTCTCCTTAGAGAATGCCATTTCATGCTCAACACTATCTATTAAAATCCTGTCCTTCAAGGACCCGTTCAGAGTCCACTGACTTCATTAAGGCTCCGTGATCACAGCAGTCTTATGTTGTATTTTTCATCTGACTTCCTAGGTCTTTGTTGCTTGTTCGAGACTATTTGTAAAGTTTTATGTCTTGCCCACTTAATCGATTCAGGTTTCCTGAAGGGTAGCTATAGCATGCAGTGTCTCTGAAAACACTATAAAAACATGAAATATCCATTGAATAACCATGCTTTTTTATTACTATAAGATAATCAAACAGTGGATATTTTGGAAAATAGGGGAGGAAAGAAAACTATCTTTAGTCTCCCAAACAACACTATAACCTTTATCTTTTGGGACTAAATTTTTCCAAGTCTTTTTCATTTCCATTTTTTGTATTCATACAACTAAATTTGTATCTTGACATCTCAAATTTTAGCATTTCAAAGTGTCTTCCGATAAAGACTAGGTGGTCTTTATAGTAATTTTTAATAATTTCATAGTATGCTCAATGAACATTCAAGCATTGGCAAATTAATTTATGTTCTGATGTTGCATACAGTCTTCAAACAGAATTCTTATGTGTTCCTTCTGATTCCCTCCTACCAATTTCACTCCACAGTTCATGTTCTACCCAAATACTAATATTGCTTCATCATAACAAACATTTTGAAATATATAAAAGGTCTGGCTCTCCAGAGATATTGCTTATTCAGTTTGTCTCTGGCCCTTTTCCCCATTTAAAGTTTCTGATGAGAAATGCTGCAATTCTCCCCACCTCCAGGCTTTTCCAGAATAGTTGTGGTAAAATGTACTTTTCTTATGAATGGACTTAGACCACCAGGATCTCACTTCAGGCCAGTTGGCATTCATATAGTTTGGCAGGAAGTTCCTCACTTGTCTTACAAGTTTTTCTTTAAAGCAATTCAGTCTATTAAAACCAGCTGGGATAGGATGCCATGTTGAATTTATTCACTTCTTTTCCAACATGACTGGCCATGTTAATCCAACTCATAAGAAAGGAAAAGAAAAAACTTTAAAGCCAAAGACCCCTGAGGCTATGTGTCTGATGAGAAAATATAATTCAAGAATCTGGCTAGACCATCCCTAGGGTAGTCATCATCTCCTCTAATTCTTAATACTAATTACTATCTATACTGGTCACATAGTACCAATCATATATTTTATTACAATATTGTATTTTATAATATATTTATGCCTTGTTTTAATGAACCCCTTGGTGTAGGATAGATAATGTTTGATTTTAGAGGCCTTAGACTCCCTAGAGTAGCATAGCCACTTCTGATTTAGAAAAGTTATGTTCTAGTCTTGAAAATATAAGTTGTATATGGATGTTCTCAAAGACAATTCTGACAGCTGCCAATATAGTAAAGTCTTGGTTTGTGTAAGTTAGGTGCCTTTGACATGTTAAACAGGCCTCCCTTAATTTCTGTGAAAGCAAAATTTGAGAGCAGAAGCCATTGTTCAGTTGTATGAAAAGATGCCTCCTATGAAAATCTTAGCCAGTAAACAAAAAGGATCGAACTGGTGTAACTCTGGCCACCAGACCAGAAGATATTCACAAATATGGATTTGGGAATTCTTAAGTGACTCTTAGGTGAATCTCTTCATAAATGGTAAAATGAATCTCTTGTCATCCCAGAGAGTATCCCCAACTAATATGCTGTTGCTCTTAAATTCATTTATCACTTCTACTGTGGACAAATCTTTATGACTTGTTTTGTAAAATATATAGGTAAGTAACTTTAATGTAATGTATATGTGCAATAAAGACACACAAGGTGATAAGAGTTAGAAAAGTGTGAGGCAAAGAACTTCTCATGTTCAAATAGAATGGAGTAACAGCAGGCTAACACATCAATTGAGACAACTTGTAAAAGCTGCATCTTTTAAAAATATTGTTAAGGTTTTAGAAAGCTATGAGAGCAATTATGACTAAATGAATTAAAGTCCAAAGTGGGGAACAGTGTTCAGAGATGAGCTAGTAATGGCCTCTGGCTTCTGTGGGGACATTTTTTGAGTCCTGGCCACAAATGGATCAACTTTGGCCCAGACAAAGAACCTATGCTGTAGGAAAGAGAAACCACAATGTTTAGCTATCTATCGAAAAGCCTTGAGATAATAACATAAAAAATCTAAATACAACCAATTTTCCCTGAAAGGAAATTTTAGGAATTCTAGAAAAGATTTCCATAATCTCCTAGAAATTTAATCTCACAATTAAATTCTTGCCAAGTGAAGAGAAATATTTCAAATACAAGTTGTTGAATGAGTTAGAAGGGTAATGGTTAAGCTGAAAATGGCTAAAGGAAAGAGATGAATCTTCTACAAATTTTGGAGCTGAGATGACAAAGACCATACTTTCATCTAAAAACATGGGCCTGTCCTAGGAATAGAAACAGACCAAAGTCAAACAGAAATGATGAAATGAGCCCCAGCCAAACTCAATCCCTGATAGAATGGGGGTAATCTCCACCTCATTCATAAAAGAAAGGAGGGAGCCCTCTCTAATAAAAGGTAAAATTATATGTAGCCATAAAACAGCACATTTTGTCAAAAATTGTTGGGACAAAGAGAATGCATGATCATATGAACTATAGTCAGCATAATAAAACAGAAATAGACCTTGCTGATCATGATTTTGAGTTAAAAAGCAAATAACTTATCAACATATTCAAGTGCATAAAAACTAGACAAAATATGTCAAAGTA